GGAGATCATCTAGTCCAGTTTCTTGCTCAAGGCAGGAGTCCTCATATCAGTTTGGATAAATGATTGTACAAACTTTTCTTGAAACCTCCAGCAATGGAACACCCACAACTCTGGGAAAAAGCTGTTCCACTGCGTAATAGTTCTTGCTGTCAGGAAATTCCTCTGTATTTCCAGATTGGATCTCCCACTGACAAGCTTCCACCCATTGTTTCTTGTCCTATCCTTAAATACTATAGACAATAAGTCAATGCTCTCTTCCCTGTGGCAGCCTTTCAAGTCTTCTCTAAGTCTTCTCTTCATGAAGCTAAACATATCTAATTTCTTCACCTGTTCTTCATAGGTTTTAGTTTCCAGACATCATCTTTGTTGCTCTTCTCTGTAATCTTTGTAGGACATCGGCATCTATTTTTGTATTCTGGTGACCAGAACTGGACATGGTATTCCAAATATGGCCTCACTGGTCTGGTATAGAGTGGTACTATATCTCTCTTGATCTTGATACTAACCTCTGTTGATGCAGAGTTGGCTACTGATTCATCTTTAAGCAGTGGTCCACCAGGACACCTTGAATTCTCTCATAGGCAGTACTGTTGAGCCTATCCTGTACCTGTCTACCTGTTTTTTTCTATCTAAGCACAGGACCTTTCTTTTTTTGCCACTGAACTGCATCTAGTTGGATAGGGACCCATGCTTAAGTCTGTCAAGATCTTTCTGACTCTTGAGTCTATCTTCTGAAGTGTTAGCAATTTCCCCTGACTTTGTGTCATCCCTTTATCTAAGTTGTTTATGAAGATGTGGCATTGTCATAGAATGTAATGTAAGCTATTCCAAGCAAAAGTTTCTTTTTGCAATTAACTGATGATTTTTATCAGTGTTAGCATTCAAGTAGTGCTAGTGGTATTTCTTGCAGATATTCCAATGAACCATTATTACTACTTTATCATTCTGTTACTTGTAGGTAGTCTGTGGAATCTTCTTGCAACAGCTAACAAAGTGCTCCACTGTTTCTTCACATTCTTTTCAGAGTTGGCATTTGCTCTGTCCTGGTTTTTTTCAATTCTGGCTATATATGCATTTGCTTTTAAGGAACAATTTTTTTTTAAGGAACTGGAATTAGCCTTCTGTCTCTTTCTTCAATTTTCCTGCTCTTAGTCTTCTTGTTATTTGCTTTGCCAGCTATTTTTTTTCTGTACTGGCCATGTAATACTTTGCCTGCCAGGTCTCTTTTCTACTCTTCATTTGGCCTTTCTTGTAGGCCAGTTTGATCTCTTTCCACTGTCTTTCAGACACTCTTCCAATGCCCTTTCCCCCACCAACTGTCTGTGTACTTACAACTTTTCATGTCCAGCTATTTTCCTTGGTAAGCACAGTCTGACAACATTGCTGCGAGGATGAAGGGCATGATTCATTATCATTATTTTCCTGATCTTCCTATCCAGAGCTTTTCGTTTTGCTTGAATCCAGGCCACTATTCCAACTGTGTATGTCAGTGGTTGGCAAACCACGGCTCGCGAGCCACATGCAGCTCTTTGGTCCCTTGAGTGTGGCTCTTCCACACTCGTGATGCCCTGGCTGGCTGTGGCTGAGCCGGGAGTGTGCACACGCGCAGGGAGACCCTCCTCAAGTGAACGCCAAAGCTCAGGAAAGGTGCACGCATGGTGGGCAGCGGCTTGCTTAAGGAGGGTCTCCCCACGTGTGCGCATGCTCCCGGCTCAGCCACAGCCGGCCAGGGCATCACGAGAGTGGGAGGAGGAGGAGAGTACAGGAGAGAAGCTGCTCTGTACCTACCTTCGCACCACATTTGCACGTAAGGCAGCCTTTGCTTCCTGTCGCTTCAGGCTGGAGTTCGCACCCTCCGCACTCAGCTGAAGAGCTGCTGGGGGTGGGGGATGAAACAGCAAGTCGATGGCCAGAGCATTAGTGCAGGAAAGAAGCCCCATCCTGTTAAGACCCTCCTAATCGAGCAGCCGCTCACCCCGCGGGTGCCTTTGCTGTGCTTTGGTGCTCGTTTGGGGAGGGTCTCCCCGCCCATGCACACGCTCCTGGCTCAACCACAGCCATCCGGGACATCACAAGAGGAGGGGGAGGAGGAGTACTGTCACCCGAAGGGAGAGGGAAAGACACAGAGAGAGAGAGTTGTGGGGAGAGAGAGAGACATAGAGATACATACAGAGTGATACATAGAGAGGGGTGAGAGAGGGGAAGAGAGGGAGAGATACAGACGGAGAGAGACATGGGGGAGAGGGGGAGATAGGAAGAGGGGGAGAGAGACAGAATGGTTTTGTGACTGGGTAGGCATGGCTAGGGGGGGTCATGTGACTGACTGAGTGAGTGACATTGAGTTGGCCACGCCCACCCAGGTTTTGTGGCTCCGGCATGTTTTTTTTCTGTGGGAAACGGGTCCAAGTGGCTCTTTGAGTGTTTAAGTTTGCCGACCCCTGGTGTATGTAATGACTGGAATTAGCCAAGTATTAATTGCCTTGAAGGTATTTCCTTCACTGAGTTTGGACTTTAAGATCTTTTACACTCTCAGATGTATTCACTTCTAACCTTCTTCCTGACTTCTGTCTGGTTGATGTTGTCAGCCTGAAGGATACCCAGGTATTTGTAGTAATAATCTTTATCCAGACTCTTGATGTTATTTCCATAGGGCATCTTGATTCCTTCAATATTCACTATTTTTCTCTTATGTGAGGATGGCATATTTGTCCTGTTCAAACTCCATTGCAATATGTTGGCAATATTTATGGACAGTGTAGAGCAGCAAAAACAGATTTTTCCCAGTAGTTTTGTATGACTGCATACATGCTAATTTTTTCCTGCTTTGATCTTCACATTTGAGGGTCTTTTTTTATATTAATAGCAATAGCAGTAGTACTTAGACTTATATATTGCTTAATAGTGCTTTACAGCCCTCTCTAAGGGGGTTACAGAGTCAGTAAATTGCTCCCAACAATCTGGCTCTTCATTTTATTGACCTTGGAAGGATAGAAGGCTGAGTCAGCCTTGAGCCATTCAGAATCGAACTCCTGGAGCGAGCAGTGAGTTAGCCTGCAGTATTACCTTCTAACCACTGCGCCACAATGGCTCAGTTAATATGTTAATATGTATCATTCATGGTGTATAACTTTCAGATACGGTAACTCAGAAGGAGAAAGGGAAAATGCACCATGAAAAGAATGTCTTAAAAGAATGCAATTTTGCATACACTGTGCATGCAGTATACTGTATTTAGGGGTAACTAGAAAACTCATGAACCATTGGGTCGTTGTTTCAGAGACACTTCTGTACCTAAACAGAAACTGAATGACCATGCAGAAAAGCCATGGGAGCAGCAACAGCTTCTGATTTCCTGCTGTCTTTCCCATTGATTACCTTTGTGGGAGGCTGGCAGGGAGCATTAGAAATGATGGTCACTGTGGCTAAGGGCAACAGTGCTAAAGTGGCCATAACTTTGCCAAATTTCAATCCCAAGGGAGGTAATGGGTCCTGGATTTTGGATGCATTCTTTAAGTTAGCCTATTTGTGGAACGTTGATTCAAAATTTGTTGTCCTACGATGCACCATTTTGCCCAATTGAAGGTTTCAAACAAACAGCTGAGTTTTTGTAGTATAGACAAAAAAAATACGTTGCATCTTTCACTTTTGTGGGGGAGACTGTGACTAGACGACTAGATGATAAAAATCTGTTATTAGTAACATACGGCATTTAAACCAGGGGTGAAATGCTCCCAGTTCGGACCGGATCACCTGATCCGGTAGCGATGGCAGCGGGTAGTTCGGAGAACCGGTAACAAAAATCCCTGTGCGCCCCCCCCCCCCCATGCCTAGCTGAGCCGCGCGATCATCAGAGGCTGGTTTTTTTACTTTTAAAAGCATTTTTTCTACCTCTTCAGCCGAAGATGCCTCTGATGATCCCAGCTGAGTTGCCTGAAGTTTGGTTGAAGAGGTTGTAGGGAAAAAAAATGCCTTTAAAAGCCTCTGACGATCCCAGCTGAGTTGCCTGATCGTCAGAGGCTTTTAAAAGCATTTTTTTCTGCAATCTCTTTCGCCGAAGAAAAAATGCTTTTAAAAGTTTTTTTTTTAAAAAAGTTGGCCACGCCCACCCAGTCACATTACCCCCCACCAAGTCACGCCCACAGAACCGGCAGTAACAAATTTTAGATTTCACCCCTGATTTAAACCTGTTTCTCTGTTGGGTAGAATTGGTATACAACAGTAGCCTTTCCCAACCTGATTGTCAGCGTTCCAGAAAGACCCATTCCAATTAAAAACTCTGAGGCAAGCATTTCTCAAAGTTAGAGTAGGTATACTGGCACATCTGGGAAAACCCGAATCTGAGAGTTCCAGGTTTTTCCTCAGTAAATCAAAATCCCAATCCAGCCCCTGCACCCATCAGTCTGTCACATGGCCCAATCATCATCCATCCCAACTTGAGCCATCTCTGCAACCACTCCTCCTCCAGATGCATAAACATCATGACCGAAGGGAAGAATGCTATTATGTCTAACTACAATCACTCTCCTGAATCCCCCCTCCTACTTTCCCAAGTGCAAGAAGTTGGCAGCGTGGAAGCTTCTGGTGCTAAGATGGCTTCCAAAGCTGACATGGATGCTCTTCAAATTTAGTGACAATTAAATAAGTGACTGGGATTACCCAAAATGTAACCTAAGTCAGCTAGAAGGAATTGGTTTTGAGCGCCCTAGAAAAACAGTATTAGCCCTTTAAAAATTAAATTCCAATAAATTTTATAAAAAAAATACACGCCATAGCATCAAAAAAAAAAAAGCAACTTTAAATAAAGGTGAAATATTTTTTAATAGTTCTGGAATACTGGTTATTTCAGAAAAAAAATAATCAGTTTTGGAAGCTATCTTGTTAAAGGGTCTTTAATTTTGTAATTATTCTGTTTTGCTTTTACATTACATTAATTTTGTAATTATTTTGTTTTGCTTTTACATTACATTACATTTATACTACTACATTACTTATTTCTGCAGTGTCTGAAGTGTGATTAAGATTCTCCATGAAGAAGGAAGCATGATCGCCTTCATGAACAATTCTGACAGTGAAGAGGAACCTTGCAATGAAAGGACATCATTGATGTCATCTGAAAGCCCCCTTCTGCCTTCATATCATGATGGAGCACAAGCACCTGAAGCTATAGAAACGCTTTCCCACAGGGTAGGAGTCTTTGGAAAAGAATGAGCAGCTTTGCTTGGAATTGGCAGGGATTATAGAAGTCACTTAGTCACTTTAGGGCTATATTGTTTCCAAAAGTTGTTGCTCAATAATCTTTAGGATGGAAAGAATCTAAAATCATTAATACATTATCATTAATACATACCATATGAGATATTTCCCTCAGTAAATACAAATTCATTGTATTTAATGAATAAAAATTAGTTTAATTGCATTTATATGAAATCAGGTTTTGTCTGGGCCCTGAAAAAAGTCCCTAATGTACATTACTTCCTGCGCAATGCAGTACCTATTACAATGTCCTTGACTGATGGCTATTCAACCTCTACTTAAATAGATCAAGCAAAAGAAAACTCACTATATCCCAAGGCAGTTCTAATGCTGAACCGTACTATCAGGAAACATCTAAATTTAGTTAGAATCAGATTTGTCTTCCACGCACTAACAGAAAACAAATCTGCTCCTTTGTTTGAATAGCATCCAGTTATAGTATATAATGGTGATCCTGTTCTCTGTGTGAGGTCATTTCTGGGAGTCCTTCTTTTGTATCTTTCAAAGGGCTAGACTGGCAGTTTTAGATATTCAAGTACATTAGGATAGTTTTCCCACTCTTCCCCCATCACAGATATATTGGACTATGTACTAACCAAGTAGGACTATTACCCATCCTGGTTGGGGGTATGGAGTTGACATCCAAAGCATTGGGCTGGCTGTGTTAAAGTATTTGAGCCTGAGCCACCTTCTCACACCAGGATTTCACATTAATTTTTAAAGTCAGCTAGTGGCTGATAAATCAAAAACCCTCCCTCCTACCATAACCTCACATGGTAAGACTGCACAAGTAAAGATATGCTCTCACTGAGGAAGTATATCTGTGTGCCATCAATTGTGTTCTCTTTTTTTTCCTTTCATTTAATTGTGCCTGATTTGTTTGAGACTGCCTGGACTTTTCTTGTAAATTTTCCTTCAATTTTCTTCTCAAGGTTTTTCAGATGTGATTTGCCATTGTCTCCTTCCATGGCTGACAGAAAGTGGCTGGCCCAAGGCCACCAAGCTGGCTTTGTGCCTAAGGCAGGACTGGAACTCATGGTTAAGAGTCCATGAGTTCTAGTCCTGCCTTAGATTAACTAGCTATAGACTCTATAGATTCTATATATAGATTCTATATATAGACTCTATATCTATATAGATTCTATATAATTACTATAGGCTCTTGTTTTTACAATTCATGACAGAAGTTGGCAGATTTTAGCAGTTAGTAAGGACAATCATGTAATTGTGAGGGTCCATATTGTATTTTCAGAATTTGATCGTGGGGATAAAGGATGGGGGAAAATAGGTAGTATTGAACTGGATTATTTTGTGCGGCCTTCTGTCACATTATGTCAGCTGAGGCATTACGGTTGCTGGACATGTTCCTTAACCTCTGAAAACAGCAACTTTCTGAATAATTTTCTTTTATTCCTCAGTTTCCTACAATGTTTTTGTCTTCTCTGTTTCTAGATGTCTGAAATGACCCTTTTGGCAAGATGCCTTTTGAAGGCATTAAGCAGTCCAGAAAGAACTATATTGGGAAAGTAGATCTATACAACGGTTGCTAACTGTTTCTGTTTATTGTTATTGCAGAATAGACGTACTGGCAGCACTAGCAGCTCTAATAAAGTGGAGGGACATGGGCCTGATCCAGAAAGAGCAGCAAAAGGACATATTGTGCTGGATAATGAAGAAGAAGAGTTGACCTTAAAATATGGAGCAAAGCATGTGATCATGCTGTTTGTGCCTGTAACACTGTGCATGGTGGTAGTTGTTGCAACCATTAAGTCAGTCCGTTTCTACACTGAGAAGAATGGGCAACTGTAAGTGATTCCTCACAGACTCTAAAAACAATGAATGCATTGTCCCAAAAGTGCTTTTTCAAGAGGCAACTGGACTTTCTTTGTTTTTCTTTGAAGACATTTCACTTCTCATCCAAAAAGCTTCTTCAGCTCTGAGGAAGCAGAAGCTTCTTGGATGAGAAGCGAACCATCTTCAAAGAAAAACAAAGTCCAGTCGCCTCTTGAAAAAGCACTTACGAGACAACTATGACCTGGATGACGGAGAATCTCCATAGACAATGAATGCATTAGTTACATTAAGATTATTTTCTATTTAGCTTCTTCCGGGGGGGGGGGGGGGGGCATTGGATTGCAAACTCCCATAATTCCTAAGCAGAAATAGTAAATTTGTGGTAAAGCATGGAGACATCCAGGAGTCTTAATTTTTTTTTAATGTGTGCTGTGTTGTTGTAAGTCCACATGAAATCAGATATATATAAATACAAACACTACTGGATTTCACAAGTTGAAAATCCCTGTACTTCAATGATATTTCCATAATCTCTGCATAATAAGTTGCTTAATTTTTTCCAATCTGGAATCATTCAGATGTTTTGGTGTTCAAATCCCTTTGGCCACCCTGGATAAAAATTAATGAGTGGAAATCCAGCATACCTTGATTGGGGGATGGTACTGTAGCTAAAGATACGGTAAATTCAAAAGCTACCTTGCCTGATTTATAAATGTCTTGTTTCTATTGCCTCTGTGTTTCAGCTAAAGATTGGCATTTTGTAATACATATATTTTGGAGGGATTGGGTTTTGTCTTGGTAGTCAGTCAGCTTCTTCTATTAAGATACTTTGCCTTTTCTTTCAGGATTTATACCCCCTTCAGTGAAGATACCCCCTATGTGGGCCAGCGTCTACTGAGCTCTGTGTTGAATACCATCATCATGATCAGTGTTATTCTAGTGATGACCATCTTTTTGGTTTTGCTGTACAAATATCGTTGCTATAAGGCAAGGCTTTGAATATGTTAGTCAAGGGCCTCAAATTATAAAAGCTTTTTAATTAATTCTGTCAGATACTTTCATTCCATGGCGATCAGCATTCTTTAGGCATGATCCTCAGTGATTCTTATGGTATACCTTTGCAACGTCATTTTAGGCAATTTGTCTGCATTTTTGCATGGATTGGAAACATTTAGAAGTGTTATCACACCTTTTAAAAAACGTTGATTGCAGAAAAGTAATATTTTAAAGAATTTTGCAGGATTTAGAAGACCTCAATGTTATTTTTCAATATTTTAAATTGTTCAAACTGTTGGTAAAGAATTAAGATCTTTCTATAGAGTTATCTTTACACATTAAAGGGGTTCCTCTCCTCTATATGTTCTATATCACAGGTGACAAACTGGATTTCTTCAAGGGCCGGATCAGCATTGTAGTTCTCCGCGGGCTGGTGGTGGTGGGAGACAGGACAGATGCCTCCTGCAGCACCCTGCCAGCCAAAGTGGGGCACTGGGGAATGCACATGGCCCCCCACACCTTGTTTTCAGCCTGGCAGCTTCTGCACCACCCTGCCGGCCAAATTGGGCGCCCGGGGGTGGGCTGTGCACGGCCACCCCACGCCCCATTTTGGCTGCCAGAGACACTGCAGGCCAATCCTTTGCTATTTGCAGGCCAGCCCCGTGGGCCAGATTTAATGACCCCTTGGGTTGGATCTGGCCCGCGAGCCTTGAGTTTGACACCACTGAAAACTTTAAAGATCAATTAGGTAGCAAAATAAATGAAGCGGAAATCAAGCTTTTTACTCTTGTCAGAGCTGCACAGAAATTACATAGTCCCTTGGAAGTAATTTTTCCCTGAAAAACTCTTGGCATTTTACAGTGAAAACTTTTTTTTTCTAACTTCCTATGAATTTTTTGACTTTCATTTAGAGTTAGAGGTCCTCTTAACTCATCTTTGTCTTCCTAAGGAAGCCCTCCCCCCTCTCTCCAGGTATGCTAGCATGTGCTGGGAAGGCTCCCTTGCCTAGGAAGTGAATTGAAGAGAGACTTATAAGCAAAACCAGGTCAATGGAGTCATCTTTGGAATGTGCAAGAAAGATACCTAAATAGCATATTGTCATCTTTTGCAGTTCATTCATGGGTGGCTGATTCTCTCATCGCTGATGCTTTTGTTTCTCTTCACTTACATCTATCTTGGGTAAGTGAGAACTGTGAATCCTAAATCACTTAGTATTCCTTTAAACAAGGATAGACACAGGTTAGTGTAGATCCTAATGAGGGATTGCTAAATGATTTACAAGGGTTTTTCCTTCAGATTTTTGAAAAATAACAGGAAAACATATATGATCAGCAAAAAAAGATGAAACAACATGACACAAAAAGAGAATAGCATGAGCAGGGAAGAAGAAAAAAGCAAGTTCCTTCAAAATGAATGTTCATTCTTAAATAATGAGCGTCTTTATATGGTTAAAGAAGGGGAATAGTCTGTTGGAGCTTTGCTTTCATTCTCATATTTCCTATAGTCTGAGAAAGCAGTCACTGCTTAGTAACTATGCCAGGTCATTAAATGGTATTTGTATAATTGTGTGAAATTTAGGTTGACTGTGTTAGCAAAATTTCAGATAGCATTTGAAATATATTTATGATAGACAAGACTAGATGGCTCTTGCTTCTATTTGTTAGCTTTTAAAATTAGGTTGAGTTAGTTATTGTGTAATATCCCCTTCCTAATCTAATTGGTCCATTTGTATTTTGTATTCTGAATTAAAATATCAGCTTTCCCACCCACTTCCGAGGGATCTGTAGTGGGGACGATGGCTTATTAGTTAAGTAGTTGTAGAACATCTCTAATGTGGTTGTTGTCTTCTCTTTGACATCACATAATAACTTACTGGGACAAAATTATGCTGATCCCAAAGAGCTGTGATTAGATTAGTATTTGCTTGGCTAGATGGTCACATATTGTAATGTGACATGGGATCAGATATTTTGATCCTATTTTGATCCCATGAGCCTTGGAAGCTCAGTTATACAGCACATGATTTTGATCATATATCTGCAACTTCCCTGTTCTTCCTCTCTCCTATATAGTGCAGGATGACCTTGTGTTAGTTAACAAGTTACTACATCATGGCAGCGAATTACTTTTTGGTTGTTGTTTTTTGTCTGACAGCGAAGTACTCAAGACCTACAACGTGGCTATGGATTACCCTACCCTGTTCTTTGTCATCTGGAATTTTGGAGCAGTTGGGATGATTTGCATCCACTGGAAGGGGCCTTTGAAACTTCAGCAAGCCTATCTCATTATGATCAGTGCCTTGATGGCTTTAGTTTTCATTAAGTACTTGCCAGAGTGGTCAGCTTGGGTCATCCTGGGAGGCATCTCTGTTTATGGTATGTCTACAACAGAACGATTTGTAAGGTGATCCTCCTCTGCAAACTGAGTGTGTCTTTTGTGAGGAGACTAAACCAAGTTAATGCTGCATCCTAGAAATCATAAATAATGATAAATATTAAATCTTTGCATTTCACCTCAGAGAGATTATTTCTGCTTTGAAATCTGTATTCAGAAAGTTGCATTCAAATATTGCAGTAAACCTTGATTTATTATGGTCTTCTCCAGGCTGAGTTTGCGTATTACTCTAATCTGATTGCAAGCTCCACTCTGATAATAGCCGCTAATGCTTTCCAAACCTGACAAGCCATAGATTGTCAAAAATGGGAGAAGTATTCTAACTGTTCTGTGGAGCCCCGTGTAGAGCCAAGGAGAGCAAACTGTGGTAACTGATTATAATCATTATTCATTATGACATTGGAATGTGGCTCCCAGTCGGCTGCATTGAAACAACAATCAAAGCAAATCTTTAAAGGGATTTTTTAAAAAAATCCAATAATTGTTCTAAAATACATGCTAAGAGACTGTGGCCAATTTTAAGTACTATAGATCAGAGATGGCTAACCTTTTTGCCGTTGCGTGCCAAAAGCAGAGGGAAACACGGAGGAGGATGTGCCCACACCCATGATTCAATGCCTCCCTGTGCCCTGTCCCCCCCCGCATAGGTGCACGTGCCCCCCCACGCTCCCATGCGCATGCGCGCATGAGCCTCTTCACACCCTGTTTTGGGCCTAGCGGGCCTAACTGAAGCCTCCAGAGGGTGAAAACAGCCTCATCCACCCCCCCAGAGGCTGGAAACAGTCCATTTCCTGACTTCCGGTAGGCCCGGTTTTTGCCCTCCCCAGGTTCCAGAAGCTTTCCTGGAGTCTGGGGAGGGCGAAAACAGCCTCCCACTCCCCCTGGAGGCCCCCTGGAGGCCAGAAATGGCCCGTTTCCTGACTTCCGGTGGGCCTGCTAGGACCTTTTTTCGCCCTCCCCAGGTTTCAGAAACTTTCCTGGAGGCTGGGAAGGGCGAAAACCGCCTCCCTCATCCCCCTCCCCCGGAGGCCGGAAATGGCCTCCCAGAGCCTCCGCGCGAGCCCTGTACTTACTGGCATCCAAAATAGGCCGTGTGGAGACCCCTGGGAGGGGAGATATGGGCGGGGCCAGCCGAAAATCAGCTGGCCAGCGCACTGGAGCTGAGCTAGGGCAAGGCTTGCATGTCAGAAGATATGGCTCTGCATGCCACCTGTGGCACATGTGCCATAGGTTCCCCATCATGGTTATAGATGGTTGTCAACTTACAACAGTTCATTTAGTGACAGTTCAAAGTTACAACTGCACTGAAAAAACTGACTTATGGTAATTTTTCAGTTATAATTTTTGTAGCATCCCCATGGTCATATGATCAAAATTCAGGTGCTTGGCATCTGGTTCACACCTATGACCATTGCTGTGTCCCAATGTCTTCTGATCACCTTTTGCAGCCTTTTGGCAAGCAAAGTCAATGGGGAAGCCCAAATCACTTAGCAACCAGATTAGTAATTTATCAGCTGCAGTGATTCACTTAACTGTGGCAAGAAAGGTCATGAAAAGGGGCAAAACTCACTTAACAAATGTCTCAGTAACATAATTTTTGGATTCAATTGTGGTTGAGGATTACCTGTATACAAAAAATGTTTCTCAAAACTAATCCTGCGCAGTCTAAGAATATGTTTTTACTTAAATATTTCTTCAATTCTAGTTTCTTTCCAATTGTCCCTTTTGCTCTTTCAATTATTATATTGGCTACATTTCTTCACAATATTTTCATTGCAAAGGAGGGGTAATTAAGAGACTGAGAAGAATTTGCAGCTGGATATAAATGAAGTAAGAGATTGTTTGCCATCTTTTCAGTGATATCAAAATTAATTCATAAGTCTGTTAACTTGCTTTGCCTAATGGTAAGGTTGGACTGCATTTGTCAAGAAGGATTAGATTCTGTGTGCCATATAAAGTTCGGTGGTTTTATTTCCCTGGAATTGCTTATATTATATGCGTGTTTTATTCCCTGAATTCCTCTTTCCCTGGTTCTGAAATTGCGTTTATCTCCTCATTTCAAAAAGGAAGCTCTCCAAAATTCAGAATGCTTTCTTTGTATATTGTACTCTATTTTACTGCTATTATTATGATTTAGTAAAGCCATAAGTGCCTTTTGAGAGAAGTGTGAAAGAATTCCCTGCCATGTATCGGCAGGAAAATTAGATGTTGAGAATGCTACTTGGAATTAAATTGATATTTTTTTTTCTGTCCACAGACTTGATAGCAGTTTTGTGTCCAAAGGGACCTCTCCGAATGTTGGTGGAAACAGCACAAGAGAGAAATGAGCCAATATTTCCTGCACTTATTTATTCCTGTGAGTAAAATACAGGCTTCTTTTGTGTGACTGGCCTTTATAGAATTACCCCTGTTGTAGCAACTAGTGGTGCCTTGTTAATTGAAAATATTATCTCAGAATGAAAACGAAGGAAAATTGAAATTCTCTGTTGATTCTCTCCTGTACAGAGATATTGTTGGATATTCCCAGATCGTGGAAATAGATATAAAATTAAACTTTCTGATTATCTCAGCATTTTTTTAAGAGGAAAGTTTCTGGCCTACAAAGTTAGGTGTTTGCAAGTATGAGCCTGATGCCCAGGTTCCAGATTTCTTTTGATAAGTTACAAATTTTCTCTAATAAATTTTTAAATTTAGGAAGGAAACAGGAATCACTGTTTTGGTTCGGGCTCCTGCTACCACTAGAAATGACAGTGGTATATTGAATTATAGATGTACTGTTACTCCCTGCTGAAAATAAATTTGTAATAAGCCCTGTTAATTGCAGCTCCTTTTAGTTTTCCTGGTCTCCTAAATTGCCTACTGTAATGAAGCTGCTGAAGAATCTTGTAAGGCCAGTGGGAAGAAATTGTGTGGATAAAATCTAATTTGCTCTATGTTTAAAAAAGACAAAGACAAATTCAGCATGATTAGGACAGCCATTCTTTCATTTTGATATTACTGTACTCCAAGGCCACTGAGAATCAGATTAATTGGATATCTGGAGTCATATCTGATTTGGCTGTCCAAAAGGGAGAGTAACCTGATTTTGCCTCCTGGGTCTGAAGGGTTTTTTAAGTCCAAAATATTTGTTTGTGTGAATTTGTGTACTTCTCCCATCTTTTTGTTCCTTGCTTTTGCCTATAAAACAAATTATGAAATAATTTAAATGAAAATAACATAGACCTTATCTGCAAGTTAATAGTATTGTTAAGCATCTATGGAGATTCCCAATCATCCAGTTCATGGTTGTCCCAAATATGCTTTTTTTCAAAAGGCAACTACTTTCTTGGGGTTTTTTTTTCCTTTGAAAATGTTTCCTTTCTCATCAAGAAGTTTCTTTAGTTCTGAAGAAGTGAACTGAATTGAAGAAGCTTCTAGGATGAGAAGCTTAACATTTCAAATAAAAAAAATCAAGAAAATCCAGTTGCCTTTTGAAAAAAAATATTTTTGGGAATACTGTTAAGCTGTGTACTGATAGGCAAATACAAGTATCTATAGCATTGACACATTTTCTTAATATATGACAATTGAGAAATGTAGGGTGGGCTTTTGATTATACTGTACTTTTTAACTTTGAACAATCCATCAGTCTTGTTTCATAAATTGTATATTGTTTGCTCTTTCTTTCAGCTGCTATGATGTGGACAATAGGAATGGCAAAGCCAGACAATGCACAAAGAAGGTCTTCTCAGGAGATACGGGATCCAGGTAATTGATACACTTGATACAACAAGGATCATTCTTTTGTTGTTAAATAGAATTTAAATGGAATCTGCAATGCATTATATTCACTGGATTTCTTACTTATTGCAAGCTATTATAAAGGGAAGTTTCCATGAGACTTGTATGGGAACTGCATTAGAAATCTCTGCATTGAAAGAGTTAATTCAATTACTGACTGAAGAATGGTTCTGAATCCTTTGACAATTTATGCACAGAAAAAAGATTTTTTTTAAATGTGAGAGTAGGTTGATTGTAAGATTCAGATCCAGCATGACCAGTCATATGAATTTATGAACCTTGTAAACAACATTAAGAAAACTATAAATTCTACACCCTAGCTCTGTGACAACAGAGAACAAATCAGTCATCTTCTCCATGACAACTGGGGTAAATCAGTATTATTGCACAGTCTTGTTACAACAGAGGGAACTTTTATTCTAACATTTTTTTTCTTAAATTTTACTGTAATACATTGATTTTTCTTGTTTGGGCTTGTCTTTTTCTCATTGTTATGCATCAAATTGGCTGAAGAAGCAGAGACCCATGACAATTCTTCATATGCTGAGCCTGAAGTTCCAGAAATGAGAAACTCAACTATTGATCAAACTGGCCAACAACTTGGTCAAATTGCCCGCAACTTTGAGGAAAGCCAGGAGGAGGAAGAAAGTAAGCTGTTGTCACTTAAGCTAATTAAAAATTCACTATCATTAATCCTTTAAAATAAGAGATAGCAGAAGTGTTTTAGTGACATCAGGGTCAGTGGGCGGAGCCTCCCGCCGGTTTTACTACCGGTTCTATAGAACCGGTGCGAACTGGGGGCAACCCACTACTGGCTACAAGGGAGTATGGTTTGCTCTGTGTTACAAGTCAGTGTTGGTGGGAGTGTTCTTGGTGATTCCTTGATTAGTTTACTGTGTGATTGTCTGAATGGTTCCTTGATTAGGGAATTGTTTACTACTTGATTGTTGGTCTAGTATTAATCTTGGTGTTAGTCTTTCCTTATCTGGGTGTTGATTACTGACAAGGTGTTTTGACCTTTTTGTTTCCTTTTTAGCTTTTTGTTTGTCTCTTTTGAATGAAGATGTTGTTTGTGCTTGTTGATGGCTGATTTGTCTAAATTCCAGACTTCCCTAATGTTTTTGGACTTAGCTTGGTCTAGAATGATGATCACAGTTTCCCAACAGAGATCCAATACCACTCACTTTTAGCACTGATTATGTTACCTGGCTGGATAATGAAATATCTGCAAGAAAAATAACTAAACTCAGAGAGCACCGAGAACCCCACTGATATTGTTGAACTTCCTGGACAAAATTCTGGAGGAACAGCCAGGACTTCAGAGCCTTATGGAAAGACTAAAAATGTTGGGGTCTTCAGAGTCTTGGTGATGGTTTTCTACAAGCTGGGGGCAGCACAGAGAAAACATGTCTCCAGGGCCCAAGAAAATGGCATTATTTGATGGAGGAAACACAAAGCATGCCCCTTCTGCTAGACTTGGTGGGTGGGAAGAAACAATGGGGGACAGGTGGTCCCACAAATAGCCTGATCCTACGCCATGTAGATCTTTACAGGAGGTAATCAGCACCTATAAAAATAAAAAAGTTATTATTTTTAAAAGTCAGAAAATTTGGTATACAAAGGAAAGTTTCTGAGAGCCCCGTGATGTTCATAAATGTCATGTTTGCTAAACCTAACTTAAATTATGTGTTGGACCAGAGATGCAGCTATCTGATAGAATTATTTTTACTTCTAATAGGAGGAGTCAAGCTGGGTCTAGGAGACTTTATATTCTATAGCGTGCTTGTCGGCAAAGCAGCTGCCACTGCTAGTGGAGACTGGAATACAACATTGGCTTGTTTTGTAGCCATCCTCATAGTAAGTGAAAAAAAATACAGTAAGTCGGTACCATTGTACTTTCAGCTTCTTTCCCTATTGTGCTTCCTTTTGAGTGCAAACCTGAGGATAAGAATTATCTCAGAATTGTGACCTGTTCTGGGATTATTTTTTTGCATGGGAGAAAAGACAGAAATTATTTAAATACCTATTCTTCGTCGTTTGACATACTATAAAACAAGGTTAGCAGCATGGATTATCAGCGCTGGGTCCTAGACATTTGAACACTTGATTGAGAGGGCTTACACAAATGATAATAAGTGGGTTTTTTAACAGGATCAGTTTGAATCTTTAGGGTGATATGACATTCTGTTTAGCTTCTATTATTAAGATCTGAAAGGTGATGACAACCTAAATGTTATTTTCTTTTTTCACTATTTAAGTAAGTGTTTCTAAACCTTAGCAATTTTAAGATATGTGGATCTCTACTTCCCAAATTTCCCAGCCAGCCATTGTTTAAATGCACATTTAACACTGGTTTAAATGTTTATTTAAATAAACATTAAATACCAGATATTAAAAATGCCCCAACAGAAGCAAGAATAGAAGAATGTATAGTTCAGGAATATAGCAATAGCACTTAGACTTATATACCGCTTCATAGTGCTTTTACAGCCCTCTCTAAGCAGTTTACAGAGTCAGCATATTGCCCCCAACAATCTGGGTCCTCATTTTATCCACCTTGTAAGGATGGAAGGCTGAGTCAACCTTGAGCCGGCAAGATTTGAACTGCAGATAGCAGTCAGCTGAAGTAACCTGCAGTACTGCACTCTTACCACTGCGCCACCTCGGCTCTACAAATATATACTCAGTTGTACTCTTAAGCAAAGCTAGAAAAATTTCGGCATCCATATTCTAATTCGAGTTAATAAGTTTACCTCTAGGCAGCTAAAGCATATTTAGGGGACTGAAGTAGGGTACAACATTAATAACACAGTGGAGCAAATCCTTACCGTATTTTTCAGACTATAAGACGCACCTAAATTTAGAAGAGGAAAACAACCAAAAAAAGTTTTTGGCCTACCTTTTTTCGGGCCTTTTTCAATCTTTTTTCGGCCTGTATCTGGGGCTTTTTTCAGCCCATTTTCGAGGCTTTTTGGGTCTGTTTTCGAGGCTTTTGGGGGGCCGCTTTCGAGGCTTTTTTGTAGCTGCTTTCGAGGCTTTTGGGGGGCTGTTTTTTTAAAAAAAGGGCCGATAAAAGCCTCAAAAACATACCGAAAAAATCCCCGAAAATGGGCCAAAAAAAGCCCCCAAAACAGGCCAAAAAAAAGCCTTGAAAATGGGCCAAAAAAAGGCCTGAAAAAGGCTGAAAAAAGTCCAGAAAACAGGGCATGTGGAGGCCCAAAAAAATGGCTGGTGGGTGGGCGGGGCTTTGCCAATATTCAGTCTATAAGACACACAGACATTTTCGCCCTCTTTTGGGAGACAAAAAAGCATGTCTTATAGTCCGAAAAATATGGTATTTTATTTTTCTCACACCTAGTAAGCTAATATGGTAGGGACCATCCTAGTCTCAGGGAACAATATTTTTATATATATATTTATATATATATAAAGTGCTGCAGTTGAAAAGGCCATTCTCCAACCCCCTGTTTTCTTCATCTTCTGAGAAGGTGGAAACTTTCCAAAACTATCTTCTTGCTAACGCATACCAGGGGAGATTCAGTAAACAGTTTCAGGGTAACATGGACCCAATCCAAAAGATCCTGTAGCTAATAAACAGCACCTTGAATTGCAACCAGTGCAGCTGCTATAACAGGAGGAGGAATTAAACCCATTTTGTTTTGTTAAACCCATTTCTTCAGATCAGCAATCCAGCAACTACAATTTGTGCCAGCTGTAGACTTTGGATCATCTTCATGGGGTAGCCGGCCATGTAGACCAATTTGCAGGAATCCAGCAGAGTTAATAGCAAAGGCATGAATGAGAAATTATTTCATCTTCAGATGAAATAATTTCTCATTCATTTCTTGTTTCTGTATCACAGGATTTTAATATTTTTTACATTTATCTGTACAAAAAATATTCTAGCTAAGTATAGTCCTGCTGATCATGTTCCTTTTCTTTCCCTTAGGGTCTTTGCTTAACTCTTCTATTGCTTGCAGTCTTTAAGAAGGCACTACCTGCTCTTCCCATCTCCATCACCTTTGGCCTGATCTTCTACTTCTCAACAGATTATCTCATGCAACCTTTCATGGACACCCTTGCAGCTCATCAGTTATATATCTAAGAATAATGGTGATCCTGTTTAAGAGCTTCCACGGGCAGCAGGCCAATTTTCAGTGGATAAAACCTTGTGAATTTTACTCTTAATTCCATACCTATTTCACAGGAAACACTAAAAAAAAAAAACAGTTTTGCTAGTTTCCCCTGGAACTTTGCAGCTGGTTCTTCAGACTATTAATGCTGCAGGTATCAGAATCTATGCAGCCTGAACTGACTTGCACGTATTCAGAGCTGTGTTCACCCAGATCGTTTGGAGCATAGAATTATTATTGATGACCTTCCTCTTCATATTTTTCATATATTAATTTTTTACTTTGTGTAGAAGGTAGATTGATTGCATTACCTTAAGGTAAAATGGAGAATCTGTCTTGAGAGAGCATTGGTATTGAGAAGTTTAAAGTCCACTTTATATAATTGCACAGTAATAATAATACAGGGTATTTTTTTAACATTGAAAAAGCACTCTTTGAGAGAAATACAATTCAAGTACATATACTGACAATATACTGTCTGAAAGGAGAGCAGAGTATAGGGAGTTGTGGTTTCTACAACTACACCACTAAAAGTGGGCTGTTCAAATCTCTTATACAATAACAGCTAACCATGGGCTATCGTGGAACTTTTGACATTCCTGGTTTCCACAGTAAAATCAGCAAGAAGCAAATTGCAAACAGCAGAACTGTTTTACTGATCCTTTGCTTGTTCCACTGGGAGGCTTGATGCTGACATAGATTAGTTTACCTTCCAGGTACTCTAAATGAAGGTATCTTAATCTCTGGCTATGTTCCCATATCATTCATAGCCAGATTTCATGTAACTATGATTTGCTGAATAATTGGCTGGATTCATGTTATTAATTAAGTCACAAATCATGATTGATATTTATGGGTTCAACATGCTTAGCAACCTCATATTGCATTTTATATCCTTTCAATATCCTTTCAATTAAAAACAAAACGAGAAGTAAAATGATGCAAAGCACTACTCTGTAGGTTTTTATAGTGATGGGACACAATCTTGCCAGTTAGCCTTCTGTTAAATGACTGCTTGTATCCCTCATTGCAACCATTTGTGGGAACGTCTGTAAACTGTTCTCAAAGTTCTAAATGTTTCACAGCTCACAAAGATTAATGTGGCCTTAAACTGGGTTCACATAATATACTATGCCAAAATTCAAATAAATCACATTATGTGTATAATGTGTGAAACCATGTCACACGCTCAGTCCCATCTGCCCATTCTGTAATCACAATAGTTTATTTGGCATTGCTCATGTAAACTTGGGGAAAATGACCCAAGGAAAAGAGAACTCATGGTATAGTTATAATTCCATTATTGAATAATCCCATAATGACCCCATAATAACCCCATAAATAATGGCAAACAAGTTCTCTTTTCTTCTCCTCCTAGATTGGATAGCATTAGTGTGACCAAGAAGCCATCCTATAGAGAGTTGAGACTTGATCAGTGGAGTAAATCAGGACTGCTTTAATTCCTTAATCATGAATCCTCTGGAGGTTTATCTTGTACTCCATCAAAGGATGACTTTTTATGCCTGTTAATAAAACTAGATTGGGTTTTGCTAGCAGTAAGAATTCTGGAAGTACGGACAGTTTGTCTTGCCCTGGTTCCTGATCTTCAGAAAGTCTTACGCTTAGAGTAAGAGGCTTTTATGCATAAAGCATGATACGCAAAAGTCTAATTCACTATATTTCTTTTATTTAAAACAGAACAAGAGCACATGTAAAGTTGGCTGAAGTATATATAGTGGTACGTACAGTAGTACATGTAGATACTGTATATGCTATGCAACATCTTTTTAATTAAAAAAGATAATTTCCCATAAAATCAATACTTTATTACTATCAGAAAAAAAAATAAAGGGGGAAATGAAATATTAGCTTGTTATAGTTCTCAAAATTGAGTTCTTGCTGAAAATAGTATTGGCTGCAAAAGTAATATTTCCATTTCAACTCCTTTCATTTCTCCCACAAAATCTCTTAATATTTTGTTGCATCAGAACTATTGTTCTGCCACATTTTTTATTAGACCAACTTGGCACAGGAAGTTTTATTCCATTCCATTTTTCTATGCAGCCCCACATAAAATAGAGCCAGAGGAGCTTCAATGATATTGAAAGTTATAAAAAGAGATTTGATACATTAAAGTAGATTGCAGTTCATTTTCAGTGGTTTCTTATGTAGATAGATACATTACATACTACATATTTTATGTAGATAGATACGTTACATACCTATTATGTGAACTGTAAGTGAGGATCAGTATATTGTCTCTATTAATTTATTGTGTGCTTATTGTTTATTCCTCACAATGCATGTTCCTGCATTTCTACCCTAGAGATTCCTTTCTGACAAGTCAGTGCATTTAGATATCTCTTTGCATAGACAAAGTACTTATTTTAGGGGAAGACAAGCATTTTGCCCACCTACATCAGATTATTTCTTATCTTAGTAGTAACACGTGGAGCTAATGCTGGGAAACTGGAGCCTTAAAAGGAGATTCTTACCAGCTAGATTTAGGTTCCTTGCTTCAGTGAGATGTAAATATTTTATTGTTTTAGATAAAATAACTGCATAATTGTTTAATCTGTTCAACCTGAAAAAAATGCTAAAGCTGTAAAGCTTAGAATTCCACTTTCCACTTTGGAACTTCTTAGTAAAAACAACTTAGCTTTGGCTTTCCATTGAGTTATGTTGGGAAGAGAAGGTCACTTTAGAAGTGTTTTTAGGAATACTATACTTTTTTAATTTAAAAGTGAATTATTTTGGAACTATTATAGCTCATAATAAAATTGAAAGGTCACATTGGGCTTATTATAAAAATTAGTCTAAATAAGAAATAGCTAATTCAAGCTTCTTTCTAGGGACATCTTTCATTGTAGGATTTGCTTATTGGTGCTTTATGCTTGTTTTACTGGAAACCTGAGGGTTTTTTTTTTTTAGATGTTACCTTTTGTGAAAAACTTCCTTGATTTAAGTGCAAAGGAATAAAGAATTGACCTTGAATATATATTTCCTGAATATTTTACAGGTAATAAACTAGATTTGAGGCCAGTCCAAGGTAGAAAAACCCAGTAGTGCACCCTATTATTTCATATCTTAATTTATTTCACATGCTGAGAAGAATTCCATTACCATTAGTGACACTGACGAGGGTTAACAGGAACTGTACCCAAGCACATCTCTAGGGCACCAGTTGGTAAATGTGAAATGTGCTCCTTGAACCATATCTGATTTGCTATGCATTTGGCCTACAGTGATTAGCATATACCATATTTAATGCTATAATCCTATATCATCTTAAGCGGAATTATATGGTAAGGAAGAATTCATATCTAGCTAAATACAGATAGTCCTTGACTTACAATTGAACCCAAAATTTGTTGTTAAGTGAGACATTTATTAAGTTAGTTTTGCCCCATTTTACAACCTTTCTTGACACAGTTCTTAAGTGAATTATTGCAGTTGTTAGGGGACACGAACTGTCATAAATGTGAGTCAGTTGCCAGCGGTCTGAATTTTGATCATGGGGATGCTGCAATGGTCATGTGAAAAATGGTGATAAGTCACTTTTTTCAATGTTGTAACTTTGAACCGTCACTAAATGAACTGTTGTAAGTTGAGGACTACCAGTACTTCCGTCCAGGGCCAGGGCGGAGAATTTAGATCTTTAAGATGTTAAAATAATTCCAGCAGCTTAAATCAGAAGGATATTCCTTGTGTAGCAATATTTAGTTGTACAAGGGATGTTTCAAGTCTAGTTCCAACAGGTCACATTCTCTTCGTTTAAGTGTCCTATGCAGTCCCAAATAGCAAATCAATAAAATGAATATTGCACTTAAAATCCCTGCAAGTTCTTATTGCCAATGCAAGCAGAATTAAGATGTGTCATCTTTTTGCTGAGAAGCAAAACTTTACAGTTGGCCAGTACGTGCAAGTATTTGAGGTCACAAGTATATCTAAGCATGTGTGTTTTGTATATATAATGGACTTTTGGTCACATTTTCTCTAGGGCAGAAAAGACTTGCAAATTTTAAAATGTTTTAATAGGACTTTTCTTAACCATTTTGAAATCTTTATTCCAAAAATCCATTAAATACTGTACATGTCTCATTTGTTTCCTTTAGAATGACTTTAGTATAGGACAGAATTTGAATGCATCCAGTGCAGCCTTTGGCTTAAAAATAAGTGTGGGCTTAGTCCAGTGGGGAAATCCAATTTTTTTTACTACCGGTTCTGTGGGCGTGGCTTGGTGGGCATGGCAGGGGAAGGATACTACAAAATCTACATTCCCACCCCACTCTGGGGCCAGCCAGAGGTGGTATTTGCCGGTTCTCCGAATTACTCAAAATTTCCACTACTGGTTCTCCAGAACCTGTCAGAACCTGCTGGATTTCACCCCTGGCTTAGTCAATGCCTAGGTGAGAAATAATTAGGAAAGTTTCTCTCTCTCCCTATATGTGCTTAATAACAATGTTTTATAATATATTAATTTTGCATAAATTAATTAGTAAAGTCTGGACAACAGAAACAACCAAAAATCTGTTTGAATACATTCCTAAGTTGCTGGGTTCTCATGATGGACATAGTATGTGTGCAGGGACAGTGCAAATATACAGAATATGTACAGAAAATTATTCTTAAAATATGATTATTGAAATATGAATACAATAAAGTGATGGTATAACTACCAAGGACTGTTGATTTGTATACTGAAGTTATTCTGGTGGGAATAGTTAACAGGCATGCAAATTGGATTTATTTAAGGTGATTTAGATCGTACCAGTTGTGCCACTCTACCAGCAAGGTGATGAAGCAAGACAAAATTAGTTTCCCTATTCAACTACAATTCATTTTTATTATTTACTTGTGATACTTTTTTTTTAGCAACTAGAAATAGAAGTAGCAAGTTTTATTTAAATATCTATTTTGACGTAGAAAAAAATCAATAGATAACTTTAAATGATCGTGAAAACTTTTTTTCACTAACTTGAAGATATAAAGTCAAAATTCCAAAGTCATTCCACTTTTTCCAGATGCTAACATTTTCCTCTACATTGGATTTTATATGTTATTTCCACAACCAAAGTTCAGGAAACTAAATAGCATTGTTCGTATAATATGCCAATTTTAACAATGGAGGCTAAATCAATTTCTGTACTTAGTGTTAACTTCCAAAATTGAATATTGTCTAAAAGAAACTGCACTAAATTACTACACTAAATACACATTACTAAATTAAAGTACAATAAATTAGCCAATCTCTAGCCATCTGTTCTCAGCATATGATAATACGAAATGTTTCACGTGATACTATGGCCCCCAACCTTTTGGGTACCAGGGCCTGGTTCTGTAGAGAAAGATTTTTCTGTGGACCGGAGGGGGCGTGGTTTCTCATGCCTACATCCTATGGATGGCGCTTTGCTTGTTTTCACGGCCCGGTTTCTGGCATGCCATGGCCTAGTGCTGGTCCACGGACTGGCTGTTGGGGACCCCAGATGTAATGGATACCTCCACTTTAGGACACAGTGGCTACTTTCATTTTTTTTTTTTAGAAATGCCCTTTGTTAGAAAAAAATCAACAAAATGAAGTATTGTGAAACATTGTGCATTTTGTCTGTTGTTGAGGGCTAGAGAATGCTAATTTAGTGCAGTTTTATTTTTAACAAATACATTTTTTAAAATTTATTTAGAACATTTATATGGCCACCCATCTTATAACCAACTATTTTTTCCTGCTCTTTAGAAAGTTCCATCTACCACTAGGGAGCAGTGTGGCAACAGAGTAACTTTTCTCTTTTAAGAAGATTCCAACTCTGTCTTCCGAGTTGTATGAGATCTCTAAAACCTTTACTTTTTTTAGTTAAGTTGCTATTGTTTTCATATCGGTAGCAAAATAAAGCATAGAAGTGATGGAAGATAACAGTTCAAACAGAATGATGGGGAAAAGTACTATTCATGTTCTGTTCAGGAAGCATTTTTAAGATAGACTGCTGAAAAAACATTCCAGCCTTGTGCATATGCTAACAAATGAAGCAGAACAGACGCAGCATTGTAAGAGGAAAGCACAACAAATAACAGCTCCTCTCATTATGTAGAAAGTGCAAGTTTTCACTGTTGATCAAGCACTGCCTAAACAAGCTGATTGCTCTTCCAGTCCATGTCTAGAGGACATGGTGTCCTTGAGATATGTTGGACTGTAACCCCATTATCCTCAGATTGGGAGGATTGTATTAAATAATTGTAAAAAATTGTAAAAAATAATAATGTCCTTCCCAAACACAAAGTGGTTTTAATATAGGCAGTTTCAAGTTACGGTCCGCTCTTAAGCAGTGAAACATGTCAAGCCCAGGAGGAGGGTGTGAAAAGAGCAAAATATGCTCCTGCAGTAGAAGCCTGCAGTTCCTTTTATAGAGCGACCATAGTATTTTGTTTATGACATTTCGGTTCTGTGCTCGGAACCTAATGCACAAAGCCATGCTCAGCCTCTGACCTGAGGTCATAAATGATCTCACTGGCTAATTATGGGTTCAGTTTCAGTGAACAAAGACTTGCAGCAAAGTTCTTGCCTATGTTTAAAAAGGTAACAAGCAGGATAAAAGTGGCGGATGACTGAAGACACTGACACACTTACTGAAAAGGGATTGTGCCTTATCAGCTGATACTGGCAGAAAGAAGGACTTTGGGTTAAAATAAGAAAAGACAATCTGGTGCCCTTTGGTTGTTTTGGGAAGATTGGCTTAAGGGGGTTTATATGGTAATTAATCCAATGTATCTCTGGCACCATGTTGCCTATCCCTGCATTAACAGATCAACAATAACTTTAGGAAAGTAACTATTGCGATGGGGAGAATAGTATTTAACATCTCCCCTAGCAAATGGCTTGCTCATTTACTTTATAATTTATCTATTTATTCATTTATCTGAAAAGCTATAGGATTCCTGCTTGAGCATGGAGTTGGACTGGAAGAACTCCAAGGTCCCTTTGTTATTCTGGTATTTACCAAGTTATTTTTATAATGCCTGTATATCTGGTCTTTTTGCCGAGTCAGTTGAGAATTTCAAAACAAGATTCACAAGAGGGGAAGAAAAATCACACTTGTATTCTGTGTGGCCATATAATGTTCCCTTCAAGCATGTCTCTCTGAAAAGCCCCACCACCCAGAGAAGGTAAGTCCTTGTACATAATTTGACAAAAACCAGCCTCATATGAAAGCTGCTTTTCTTCCCCCCTCTCTCCAGTATGCACATAAATCTGGTTACCAAAGTTATTTGGGGTCATCTGTTGTATCTTTTCCCCAGAGTCGGGGAGGCAGCTGCAACTGAAATAACCCTCAGCACCACATCACTGGGTGGACTTATCTCCTACTACATACCAATCTTGCTGATAACAACAATTAAAGCTAGCACAAATGAGAGGCAGGGTGCCGACCTTTCCAGGAGTATCAATACCCTGCACTATTTCTGGAATTATGTAAAGAGAGATATAAATAACCAGAGGCTCTGAAGTGATGGCAACTGGGGACATTTGTATTCCAGCTTGGGAGGCAGTTGCGCTGGCATTTTCTTGGAGCTTATAGGTTTTAGAGTAAGGAACAAAATGGATCCTCTCATGAACAATTCAAGTTGAGAAGAAATCAGCCAGAAAATAAGTGAGTTCATAGGAAGTGCTCTGAGCTTCTATGTATGACAATAGGGGACCCACCACCAGGAGACAATACATACATTTGTCATTGTGACTCTTCAAATCCTCTACTGGGAACTGAATACAGACCATCACACTTTAGATTATTATATACAGTATATTAGCTTTTCTAGATGCCCCTTCCTGCGTTTGCTAAGCATCAGGGTATGTAAAGCTCTAAAAACTAACAGGCTATATAGCCTTGTACATTGCCTTGCCCAGAGTGCTAGGAATAAAAGGCGCAGCTTGGAAAGAATATGCAATTGGCAGTGCATCCCCACACTGAGAAATTACAATTTGGATAGCAATCCCCCAAAATTAACCATTTCCTATATACTCAGTGTATCCTTGCCAGGAACTTATCAACCGTAATGTTGACCTAATGGAAGCTCTTCCACAAGCTTGATATTCCTGAATAAGCACATAAAAAATAAACACTTGCTGGCCAACTTTCTGGTCTCTCCAGCAGCCAAACCAAAAATTACCATCCAAGACCCAGAGGCCAGCAGCTAGATGGAAAGGGATGGTTCTGCAACAGGCCAACGGGGCCCCTAAAGCTCAAAGATTCCACTTCCATGCACTTTAGAATGTTCATATAGGTTTTTTTCCTTTTTACCATAGAAAACACCCAATTTTCTGCCAGTATGTTTGGTCCAGTCTTTATCTGCATCAATCATATGCTAGTCAAAATGGATGGTCAGTTATGACGGTACATCCTCCTCAAATGTAAATGGAATGTCTTCAAGCCAGTGCAAGGAAGGTGTATGAATGCATCCACAAATAAGCTACACTAAAAAGCAGAAGAAAGTAATTACATTTTTTCACTCTGAGATATTTTTCTGCCTGGGGCGAAGAAGAATTAGATGCTACCCCACCTAACTCCACTCAACGCAGGTACCAATTGGATTTGTAATTGGCAGGGGAAGGCACTTCCATTTGTACTCAGCTTAGCTATAAATACACTACATAAAATTACTACAACTACTCTTTCTTTGTACTGCTCCAGAATTACCTCCAGATCTGTATTCTTATGCTGTCTGTCTTCAGCAGTTGAGTTGATTTATTTCTGAGCTACTTATGTTATATCTAAAAGGTCAATACAATTTTGCATAGCTTCTGGAGCCAGACTCCTGCTTCAGCCCATCTTGTGGCTCTAGGACTTCAGCAGATACTGCATTTAATTCACGTTATTGAAAATGACAGATGACTTGAGAGGTGTCCACACAGCTTGTACTAAGCTCATCATTGCGAATCTTAACTTATAACATTGTTTGTATTGAGCTGGATTGTATTACCACATCATAGATCCTTGCAATGGTTACCTGTATTGTACAGTAGCACAGTGCCAGAGAGCTGAGTGAAACTAACAAACACTTCTGCTTCCCTCTTTTCTTTACTGGGAGGAGCAAAAATGCAAAGCACCAGTGTGCGAGTTATTGTTTTTCCTTGTTTTGTGGAAGGGGAGGTGTGGTTGCAAAATAACTGCCATACTATTTTGCTAGCTGTTGCAATTTGTCACAGGAATATAACCCCCCCCACCCCCACCCCCCAAAAAGAATGGCTATGCAGTTTGCTTTGCAATCCCTCCTTTACAGAAGTTGCATTGGGGGAGGGGGTTGTTGCAAACAACCTGGAAATCCATATTGAGGAATGAAAAACTTATTCCCTTGACAGGACTGGCAGAAGTCTGAGGCAAGGTATTGACTGAATTATATTTTTTGCACTCTGATCAGCTGGAGGGAGAGCACTGACTGGTTTGAGGTGTTCCCTGTCAAATCTATATTCCAAAGTCAAGAGAAATAAAAAGAACCATGTGGGCAGCTTCAAAACAGTTTGGAGGAACTGGGGAAAACCAATGCTACTGTATGGAAAAGCCATGAATCTTATTTCAATACTAGTGATGAGATGACATCTTCCACTGCACTAGAGGGCAGTGAAATAATTTATGGGGAATAAGGCAGTTTATCTGATACACATCACTTAGTCTTTCAACACTTCCCTACTGTGTGCTCACTGGT